AGTATATTAAAAGGGAGAGTTAGTTAATTTAAATAGATGTTATTTATTGTAAAGTAAGATTTTAGTTTTCAACAGAATGAGAAGCCTTATGGTTTTTCAGCTTGAAAAACTGTTACTGGAGGTGAGTGGTTGTACCAACACAGTTCCCAGAAGGAGAGTTATGGGGCTTTTCATGTTAATAGATGATTAGAATTAGACCATCAATGCTCAGGTTCTTATAATCCAACTCCAAAAGGTAGCTCAGTCAACTGCAAAGTGAGTGTCTGTGTGGAAATAACTTAGAATGGGATTGAGTTAGTTTTTTGATTCTTAATGGTCAAGCTTAGGGTAGAATACAACAGAAATTCAGAATTTAGTCTAGTGTATAATAAATACTTGTAGTTTGTATTTATAGCTCAAAAAATGGCTTTGTGAAAATCTGTGAAAGTATTTTTAACATGAGGTTGCTTTGTTACTTGGATTTTCTTCCTAACTTTCTTTCCTTTGATGTCTGTTTCTCTTTCACAAGCAGGAGCAACCGTCAGGGTAACAGGTATCTGACTATTTACCAATCTTGTATGTGGTCTCCATCTACTCAAGCAGAAAAGATGTATGAATCTTGTTTTCATACATCTGGAGTCCCATCCATGTTAAAAACCACCTGTCTACATTCATGGATTGACTGTCATACCATAGTTTGCTTTTCCCTTTCATAATGCATTTAAAAGTGAGACTGCATTTATTAGTGCCAGAGCAAATATTTTGCTTCATCATCTTTTATGAAACAGTTGGACCTTCACCTATGTTGCTTAGTCACTGCTGAATCTCCTGGTTTCACTCTATTTGGGGGGAAAAAAGATCAGTGTTGGCATTAAATGTTTTCTTAAGTGCAAATTTTTTTCCAAAATAAACCCCATATTTTACATTTTTCAAAGAACAGAGAACTTACTACTACCCAAAGTAAAACAAATGGTTTGCTACAATTTTAAAAGCATTTGGTTCCAGAATTGTTCAGAGCAAATTTTTACTTATGGTGAAGAGCAATTGGGATTCATAGTTTCCTTGGGGTCTTTGTGCTTCTAATGACTAGAGGACTTAACCAGCTGGTACCAAGCTGCATTTGATTTCTATTCTTTCTGCAGTTCAGGTTTTCACATTTTCCCCTCAGTTACTCAGTGCCTTCAGTTTAATATTATTCTGCAGAACACTGACTGTATATACACCCCATTCAAGCTACAACTGAAAATTTTTAAAATAAATTGTTATGCTGCATACACTGGGGAAAACTTTGCAATATTATTATTATTATTATTCCCTTGTGTCTCTAAAGCCTGTAGACTAATTTTGTGGAGCTGCTTAGGTAGTGGATGTGTGGAGACACGCTTCAAACTATGCACAATAAATGCAGTGAACCCAAGATGGATAAAGATGGAGGTTAGGCTGTAGTAAATACTGTGTTTTAGCTCACACTCTAGTTCAACACAACCTTAGTTAACAGAATTTTCAAGCTAAATACCCAAACTCTTCGGGTATATTAAGGTGATGTGTTAAAATGACAAACTTTTTTGTGAAATTTTAATTCTCAGGAGCTGTGTTAACTTAAACTCAATTCATTAAAAAAGGGGAAGCTCTAAACCCTGTTCTGTCAGTATGCTGACTGAAAAAGTAGATACTCCACCTTTTGGGACAGTTCTTACAAGGTAAAAAAGTTGCACTGTTGTTTGAAGAAATGTATAAAAACAGGAATATGTTTGTTTTTAGAAGCTGAGAAGTTCTGTGGAGAAAACTCTGTCTTCTCCATTCAATATTATTCTAAACAAGGATAACTTGCCATTTTAAAATATGTCCCTTCTCATACCAGGAAGCACCGGAATGCCTACGGGTGCCTGTGTCTGCATAGAAATGTCTGACATGCACGTACTAATGACACTAATGATTCCTTCCATCGTGATGCTTAAATACTGCTTGTAACATCAGTGTGACAAACAATGTAACCTAGAGCTCCTTATTCTCTAGCTGTGCTGGGTTATCACTTGTTTAGAATACAGTAGCATTTCCCAAAGGTTTTCTCATCCAACGTTCACATGGACTTGGGATTCTGACCCGTAGGAAGTAGATTCCAGCTGCGTTGATCACCAAGAGGGGAACACGGTGTTCAACAACTCTTAGGCTTTTTTTCAGAGAAGGGGTTCAGGGTGGTTGTTTCCATTCTAGTTACAGCTGAATTGTGCTGAAGTTTCAGCTGGAACAGTGAGAAAGGGGGGAGGTGTCAGGAATAACCTGGGGATTACTGAGCACGTTGTTTCCTTTGCAGCTGAAACCCAACTGGACCTACAGCTCCAACCCCGACCCCCAGCTCAGCAGTGACCCTTTTGAAGACCTGTCATTCCAGCTGCTCGTGTCCCAGATGCAGACATGTGTCCGAACATCACCCGCTCCACCCTTAAACCAGGAGCTGACACCTTTGCCTTCAGCAGCACAAAGAAACACCGATACTTTGAATACTATAAACTGCATGCCAGCAATGCCTCCTACTCCATCCTTCCACTCATCCCAGGAACATAAGCGCACCTCTCCAAATCCGTTTGTTACTGGGCTGAACTGCGCAAATCCGTTCACCGAAAGGACTCCTAACGCTGGGAACCCATTTAGGATGGAAACGCAAGGGTCCGGAATAACCTCGCAGGTACGGGAAGGACCTGCAGTTTCCCGTCCTTTCCCTTCCCTGCCCCGCCCCAGCTGTAACACAACCAAGCCTCTGTTTTCTGTGGATGCAGCTGAAAACACGTTTTGCTCGCCAAGTAAATCTCTCAAGGCAGAAAATGTGCAGCCCAAGGGGTGGGTGACATTTGATGAGGACGAGAACTTCAATCTGAAGCTAAAGCCATCTACAAGTGTCCCGGATTTTCAGAGACTCGGCTCCAGGAAGTCAGCTGGATCTCCAGGGTTGCTGGGCACTGAACAAAAGACTTTCCTTGGTTCAGACTTTAACTTTGGTGATGACTGGAATAAAAGCTCTACCGATTGCTTCTGTACAATGCCAGCAAGGAGACCCCCTGCACCCCCTGTCCCATCCAGAGCAACCAGCAACAGGTCCCCTGCAGATCCCTTCGCCTCCTCGGCACCCCAGGTGTCACCAACTCATGATTTTACAGAAAGATAGTTGTTCAAAGATACAACAGGTTGTATTTGTTGCTACATTTATCCAGTAGAATAATTGGGTATTTGAGATTATTCTGTGTGCAATAATTAAGTGTTAAATGCACTGAAACTTAACTCTACTCATAAACAGCCACTATTGCTTGTGTATAAATTTTGAATGTGTATATATGGTAGAGCACAAAAAAATTGTCTGAAATTTATTAAAAACCTGATGTAATAGTATTTGAATAGACAGAAAAAGAGAAGAAGGATGAGCTACTGATCTCATTAAAATCTACCAATCCTAGACATAGATTTTGCTTAGGGAGCTCTCTCATTTCTGGTCCCCCTTGTGGAATTCCACAAAAAGAGGCTCCCTGCTGGTAGCCTCCCCCCTCCCTTTTGACTGTTTTGTTAATTGTATTTATAAGTATTTACCAAAGAGCTGCCAAAGTTTATTGAGATTTGAATGTTGAAAAGTATTGTTTAGAAGTTGTTTTAATTTATAACAGAGGCTATGGATATTTGTAAGGCTTATATTTGAATTTGAGGCACAACAAAAGTAGTTTTACTTTCAAAATACAAACAAAACTTTGCATATTAATATATTCAACTAATTTTCTGTGTCAGTACATTTCAGCTATTAAATCCTATTGTGACATACACTCACTAGCACTAATTCAGAATAATTGTTCCATATCATCTATTTATTCATTACTATTTTAACTACATTTTTTTTCCCAAAAATTAGAAACAGCGTATAGAAAAAGTTTTCCCTCAACCTCTGGGAAAAGATTCCCCTCGGGTTTTGAGATACAAAGCAGTCTTTACCAGTTGCAGACAATACAGTCTGCCAGCCAGGGAATGAAACAACACAGTAACATTGTATTTACAGTAGCAAAATACTCCAAGGGCAGTGCGCTTTTTAAATTCTCCAGTGCTGTCGAACATGGTCTATAAAATAACGCGTTGTTCCTTTGGGCAGTCCCTGGTTAACCGCGAGCTGCAGCTGTGTAGAGCAGTGATAGTGAGTTTTATATGGCGCTTTTTTCTGTTCAGGTCCCTCAACTTGTACATTTGGAGCAGCAGTTGGTACCGTTTGTGCTTCGGTGTGTGAGTTCCCTTGTTTTATGCTGTTGCTATAAACATCTGTGTGATCGGTGTTTTGGTATATTCCTACATTAGCAAGCCAATTTCGGGGGGAAACTTTTTGCTAGCTGGAGTCACGTGATGATGAATATGTTGTCGAATATCTAACTGCAGTGATTAAAAACTACTGTCTGAACTGTACCTGGTGTTAGGCACCTCTGCACTTCACAGGGCTGTGGGGCTGGAGCGGCGCCTGCAGGGACCACGGGGAATGCTTCGGAATTCCAGTGTGTGTGTGTGTGTATACATACATACACGTATATATATATATATATATTTCTGTGTCTAAGCTCTGGTAGCGCCGTGACGTGTGTGAATGGATGGGAGCGATGACCGCCAGCAGAAGCTCTGAAAACGCGGAGAACTGCAGTGTGACGTGACCCGCTCCCCACGGGCGCTCCCGCACACCTGTCCGTGGCTGTGTCCCGCTCCCCGGGGACACCCGCGTGTCCGTGACACGGACGTTCCCGCCCCTCACCCGGGTGTGCTCCTTCTCTCTCCGTGCCCGGGGCGGCCCCGGAGCACCCGGCCGGGGCGCGGGCCCTTTAAGGGGCGCCCCGGTGTCTTCCGGGAAGCGGAACCGGAATCAGAGGAGCGGCCGCTGAGGCAGCTCCGGAGGCAGCCGGTGGATCCCGGGAATCCCAGTGGATCCCGAGAGTCCCGGTGGATCCCGAGGGTGCCGGTGGATCCCGAAGGTGCCGCTGACAGCGGGGGCGGCCCCGGGAGCGGCCCCGCCGTGCCCTCAGCGCGCCCCGCGGCGCTGGGCGCGGCCGTCGCCCCGCGCTGGCTCCTCTTTGCCCGTATCCAGGGACGCGGCCCCGTCGCTGAGGCCCGGCCATGGTGCGGCTGCACGTGAAGCGCGGCGGCGAGAGCCAGTTCCTGCTGGAGGCGCCGGGCAGCTCCCGCCTGGCCGAGCTGGCGGCCCTCGCCGCCCGCATCCACAACGGGCGGCTGAAGGTGCAGCGCCTGTGCTCAGGTACCGCCCGGGAGCGCCGCCCTCAGCAGGGCGGGGGTCGCCCGCCGCAACCGCGTGGGAATTCCGGGCTTGGGGATTTTAGAGCGGGCACTGCACAGGGCTGGGGACGCACCCGCTGCGTGAACCTGTAGTGGCTGCTTAAATCAGGGCCTGGAAGGGACTTAAACGTCCAGTTCCACCCCCTGCCACGGGTAGGGACACCTCCAACTAGACCAGGTTGCTCCAAACCCCGTCCAACCTGGCCATGAACGCTTCCAGGGATGGGGCAGCCACAGCTTCTCTGGGCAACCTGTGCCAGATCCTCACCACCCTCACAGGGAAGAATTTCTTCCTAATATCTCATCTAAATCTACTCCCCTTCAGTTTAAAGCTATTCCTCCTTGTCACTTCACTCCGTGTCCAAACTCCCCATTTTGGCACTGGAAAGGACTCCTTTGTGTCCCTTTACACGTGAATGTGATCGTTCCCTACCAGGTGCTTGGTGCAAGGCATCCCCTGCCCTGTGATGGAGTGGCTGATGCGTCTGAGTTGGTGCTGAGTTCAGTTTTGAGGCAGTTTTAAAAAACTTCCTGCCCTGCTGTGGGGCTGCCAGAGCTGAGATTCCCCCTCAGGTGAGCCTGACCTGGGGGTGCAGCCCACCCTCACCTGCTGTGCTCCAGCCACACTGCGTTTGTGGACTGTCTGAGGCCTTACTGAGCCTGCTCTGAAATTAAAAAAAAAACAAAACCAACAGCTAAAGTGCATAGGGAAATGCCCAAAAGAAAAGGGTTATGGCCAGCAGGTACCATCAAGGCTTGAATCCCTGCACAGGCATTTGTTATGTTGTTTTATATGTATGGGAAATGTATGAATTTTGACATAACTACAGCGTCTGTATCTGTCTGTGTGTCTTTATATCCCTTAATATTTATTCCTTGGACTTAGCTGTTTGAACTGAAGGCTGGGGTTAAGGTTTGCCTGCACACACATCATGTGAAAGGCTTTTGCAAATGGTCTTTAATAACAAAAGACTTCTAATCTTGTTCTCTGAACGCTCTAAAGAGATGGAGGAGCTGGCAGAGCATGGAATTTCCTTGCCTTACAATATGCAAGGACTGACAGATGAGCAGATTGGAGAGCTGAAGTTGAAGGATGAGTGGGCAGAGAAGTGTGTCCCGAGCGGTGGGAGCGTCTTCAGGAAGGATGAACTGGGACGGAGAAACGGGCACGGTAAGTCAGATGTAAAGAGTTATTTCCTTCCCTGCAGACACAGACCACCTATAACAGACTCCTAATTCTGGACCTGAATAGCCAAAGTATCAGTTACATACACAGGAGTTCTGTCTTGGGTTAGGGCCTGGGGTAATACTGATTTGAAAAGCCTAAAGAGCAGCATATCTCTTCAGCACACAAACAATCACCAGGGGCAAGTTGGACTGTCCATTGTAATTTACTCTCCCCACTTGTAAATGTACACTTGAGAACTGGTTTTCTCCAGAGACTCCAAGGTACATCAGCTAGTTGTTTCTCTAATATTTCTCCTTTTTTCTCATTGACTGGGACTCAGACTCACTGAACTCTCACTTTGTTAGTGAGAAGACAGCTTTATAATGTTGAAAAAGTTAGAATATTGAACAGTGTGTATATGTGGGCCAAACCAAATACCATCAAGCACTTAAGTGGGAAGTAAACTGGGAATGAGTATGCTTTAATTGGATTTTTGTATTTGAGGACAGGTTTTTATAGTAAGTAGATAAGTGTGATGTGATATGAAATGAACAGTGTATTTGCAAAACTACCTTTGCTGTTAGATTGAGATTTTAATTAGAAAAGAAGTCAGACCACTGTGAGCTGTTGTGCCCAGTAAAAGCACATCTGCCAGTACAGTCCCCAGTAGTCCAGCAGGGAAAGAGCCTTGTTTTATGTTGTGGAGGGTATGGGATTATGGTTGTTGCTTTCTACTCAGTTCCTTTGTCCCAGGTGAAGTTCCAAGTCACAGAATTATGAAATCACAGAACGGTTTGGGACCTTAAAGCTCATCCAGTTTCACCCTCTGCCGTGGGCAGGGACACCTTCCACTAGACCAGGTTGCTCGAAGCCCTGTCTAAACCTGGCATGGAACACTTGGGAATTGGGCAAATACCAGTCACATGTCTTTGGGCAAAAGTAAGTTTGGCTGTCCCATGAGAAGTACTGTTTTGTCTTGTAAGTTAGTAAGAAATACGGGAATGAACAATCCAATTTGTAAATAGGCTGCAGCTTAGGAGTGTCTCTCCTGCTTTGTGATTCAACACGGTTTCATTTGCTCACAGTGGATTCTGGACAGGTTGTGCATTTGGTTTCTTTACAGTAAGTGTAGACCATGAAATATGTGTCTCTTGTTTTTAGCTCCAAATGAAAAAATGCAGCAGGTTATAAAGAAGACAATAGAGGAAGCCAAGGCATTAATCTCTAAGGTAAATTTCCTCAAGTGGTGTGTGGGGCTTTCCTAATAAGTGCTTTGGAGTTGGGCAACTTAAATAAAACCAGACTTCTTTCAGTGCAAGGGCTGCCAGTTCTTGAGAAATACCATGATGTGAATAGTCTAATAAAAACTGACATCTCTGTTAATTATTTCCTTTGTGGCTTTTGGCAAGCTGGTTCAACAGGTTAAGGAATCAGATCCTAAATTCCAAGTGAATGCTGGCGGCCGAGCCCACGTGGAATGATTAAATGGCACTCAGTGCTACCCAACAATTTGCTATTGATGTGTTCTTTGGGTGAATACTTGTCGTGCTTTCTGGTGAAAAATTAACTGGGTTCTGTGCTCTTCCTGGAGTCAACACAGCCTTTTGTGTTTTATGTATACTTAATTGAAAAATGTGTTCTAATCTCTTAGATTATCACAGAATGGGTTGGGTTGGAAGGGACATTAAAGCTTATGCAGTTCCAACCCCTCTGCCATGGGCAGGGACACTTTCCACTAGACCAGGTTGCTCCAAGCCCCATCCAGCCTGGCCCAGGGATGGGACAGGGATTTGGCCTTGGTTTGACAAGCACTTGGACTCATGCTCGGTCACAACAAGTGTGTTCAAAGACAAGTGTGAGGCCCTCGTGGGATGGTGCTTTCAGGTATTCACCTTCACTTTGCCAAGTCTGTAGATGTTCTGTGTTGTGTGTCAGCACTTGTAGGACTTTGAAACACAAATTAAGTAATATTTATTATAAAATGTCTTTGTTGAATGAATTAAAAATAGTTTGTGAAGTGGTTTGTGAAGTGCATCACTTTATAATGATGAAAATGAAGAAATGTGCATTTTAAGTTTTATGGGCTAGTTAACAAGATCAAAAGTGTCCACAAGGAGGCAACATTCTCGTACCTTATTATTTAAAATACTGAAATGGTTAAATCCATAGGGAAAAGCTTTATTTCTTCTCTTCCAGATGTGTTATGTTATCTCCTTTATCCCTGGTGGTAGGGTTTGGAATGACCTCAAGTGTTTGATCACACAGGTCTCTCCAGGAGCTGTGCAATAGGACAAGAGAGCACGGTCTTAAACTGTGCCAGGGGAGGTTTAGGTTGGATATTAGGAAGAAATTTTTTACAGAGAGAGTGATCAGACATTGGAATGGGCTGCCTAGGGAGGTGGTGGATTCTCCATCCCTGGAGGTTTTTAAGATGAGACTGGATGGATGTGGCACTCACTGCCAAGGTCTGGTAACCACAGTGGGGTTGGATCAAGGGTTGGACTCTGATGATCTCAGAGGTCGTTTTCCAACCCGGTTGATTCTATGATTGATTCTATGAATATGCTACGCTTTAGGCTTCTGCTCACGGGTGCTCTATTTTTTCTTTCAAGTTTTAGGCCCCTTCTCTATCCCACACTTGAATTCTACTGGTTTGAATCACAGTCATGAATCACATGCGCTTGGAAACCAAAGCCTCTCTATCTGACTTCTGTGGTCATACATGTCCTGGGTTGAGTCCTGTGTCCCACAGGCAGTTGGTGTTAAATGCCTCCTGCAGAGTTTAGTGGAGATCTCCTATTTTTGTTTCCTCCCCCACCCCATGTAAGCAGGCTGAACAGAGGGGCCAAAGGGGAGTGATGTGCTCCAGAGTCAGTATTCCAACGAGGAAATTTGCACTTCTGGTATCTTTATGCAGCCCATTAGCTCTACTCAGATTATCCCACCTCTGAAACTTTGAACTGACTACAAAAGCAAAGTCTTCTGCAGGTTTGCTTAAATTGCCAATGATCCCTGTCTGTATTTCAGAAACAAGTTCAGGCCAACGTGTGTATGAACATGGAGATGGTGAAAGATGCATTGGAGCAGCTCCGAGGGGCTGTGATGATTGTGTATCCAATGGGATTGCCTCCACACGATCCAATTAGGATGGAGTTTGAAGATAAAGAAGACTTGTCAGGAACTCACGTACGCAGTAACCTATTCCCATTCTGTGTAGTCCCTGGGCTAAACATGTGCTATGCTGTTCTCCATCTTATCATTGAAGGTTGTTTTCACTTGCATGATGGATTTTGTTTAAGATTTTAGTCTCATAGTTTATGTAAAAACACACCAGTAGCTTAACTAGAAATAAAATTATTGGAGTTTATTTGAAATGTTGCATACAACACTCGGGTAAGTCTGGGTCTCATTTTAAATAGCTGGTTACCTGCAGTATGAAGAGCTCATTGCCCAAAGTGTTCACGTGAGATCAAGACTGAATGGAATATGAATGAATGAATGAATGCCACAGATGAGCATGAGGAGAAAGATGTAGCAGAGGTAGATTTGGGAAAAAAGCAAGAAACAAATAGAGCAAGAAACAACACCCCTAACACTTCACCTTGTTTGTATGTCACAGGCTGGACTAGAAGTTATAAAAGAATCAGAAGCACAGTTATGGTGGGCAGGAAAGGAGCTGCAAGAAACAAAGTTGCTGTCTGACTATGTAGGAAAAAATGAGAAAACAACCATCATTGTCAAGATCCAAAAAGTGAGTATTGCTAGGAGATGTCTGTATAAGTTCTTCACCTTTGGCCGTCTGTTCTCTGTGGAAGAGAATTGTCCATAGGTGTCTAAAATGGATTATATTAGTCCTGGCTTGAATGTCTCAAAATGGCACATCTATTTTAAGGTTTGAATTTATTATATTCTAAATTTTTCTTCAGTAATTCCTTTGCCTGTCAGTTACAGGCAAACTGTAACTGCTGTTATGACTTGCCCCGTAGCACTTTTGTGAAGTACAACAAAGAGGTATTTAAAAATAGATGGAATACAAATTGAAAAGTTTCATAGCAAATCTTGTCAGCTGCAGGTGTCTGCAGTGCATCCCTTGGAGATAAGTCAGGTGATTTATGTGTCTGTCACTTAGAAGACCAGAATTTCTTTCTCTTTCCTCTCAGGGTGACTGAAAAATGGTGTGGCAGCTTAACAGCCACTGAAGTGCAGGCTCCCAGGGAAGTTGCCTGTTTAGTTAGTTGATGGACCTCTTCAGAGGATGCAGAGTAGTGCAAGGGTTTCTCTGTTCTTAAACTACCTCAGACCCTTTCTCTTCCAGAGGTCATCAACCTTCTCCATGGAAGCTGCTCTGCTTGCTGTTGCTGACAGTAGCTGTCACCAGCTGTTTTCTTCTCTGTGCATCATTTCTTCCAAGAGGACAGTTACCTGGAAAATAAATTTTCTTTAATTTGTAGTATTTTATAACTCCTGCCTTCCCTGCTTTACTAAGTATTGTGCCATTCTGAGTCTGTATTAGCAGGGGAGCTAAAGATAGATGGGCCTATCCTGAGATATCTAGAATGACCTTAAAACAGATTTATTATGTCTTTTAGAGTGGCAGTTTAAGTAAAATAGACTCAATCCTGTTTGCATCTTCCACTGATGTCCACAGAGTTGACAGCATGATTCAGATGCTGAGGTGAAAAATGAACCACTTGAAATCACTTGAAAAAACAACCCTCACTTCCCTGTGAGGGTGGGGAGGCCCTGGCACAGGTTGCCCAGAGAAGCTGTGGCTGCCCCATCCCTGGAAGTGTCCAAGGCCACGTTGGACGGGGCTTGGAGCAACCTGGTCTAGTTGGAGGTGACCCTGCCCATGGCAGGGGTTGGAATTAAATGATCTTCAAGGTCCCTTCCACCCCAGACCGTTCTGTGATTCTATGAATGCAGGAGCATTTGTTCTTCTGTCCTGAGGGACCTTATGAAATTTGAGAAATCCAGTTGTCTGAAGGAAGGTTTTTGCTGTCTTTGTGTAGCTTTTTGCTATCTTTTGAAGGTTGTGCTACCTCGGTAGCTTCTACTTTGTATCACAAATGCCACCAGTGGTAACATTTACCATTTCCCTTCCAGAAAGGACAAGGAGCTCCAGGGCGTGAGCCTGTGATTAGTCATGAAGAGCAAAAAGAGATGATGCTGTATTACTACAGAAAGCAGGAGGAGCTGAAGGTGAGTGTCTCTTTGGTGCTTCAGAGCTGTCAGAGCCTGGACTGTGTCCCTCACTGCCTTCCTCTCCTCTCCATTCACAGAAACTGGAGGAGGATGACAACGACTCATTTCTAAATGCTGAGTGGGCAGACAACCAAGCTTTGAAAAGGCAATTTCATGGTGTAAAAGACATCAAATGGGGTCCAAGATGAAGCCCTGCAAACCCCTTCTTAAGCTGTTCGTTGTTTGCAGTGAGGATTGTATGCGGTAGGTTCTTCTTTCAGAAGCTGAAATTGTCACTTCTGTAGCCTCGGGTGTTCAATAAAAGTTGACATTTCCCTGCAACTCCAGCAGCATTTGTCTCTGCAAAGAATTGAACCAATTCTCTTGAAGTTTCATATTTTATTAGAAACTTGTAATTTGAATATTGAAATGCTAATCCATTTCCTAGATAACAGATCTAGTAAATATGCACTGGAATGTTTGGTGTTGTTTGGAGTGGTCTTTATACTTCCTTCTTATTCTTGCATTACTATTAGATGGTGTGCCCTGTAATAGGTAATTTATTTTACAATAAATTTGTTCTCCCAGGCTAATGCAGGGAAAGTTAATGATTTTTATGTGCTCGTTCAAATTTCAACATAGCTAATTCCAAACTATAATTTTTTAATTGAGTTAACCTCTTCACAGTTATTTAAAGGAAGTATTTTTGTATAACCACAAATAACACAGAAATCCTTGTGGAATGCATAATTTTCATCCATTTGGTTTAGTTTTCATTGCTGGTATATAAAGGTTGACAAAAATCTGTATACAAAAGCAAGCAGCATTTGCAAGTAGATTAGATAAATAAAACCAAGTTTAATATGACAAGATGTCTGAAAGTAAAAAATCATAATTTTCTGTATTACTGTGGTCAAAGAGACACAGATCAAGTTAAAACTCTGAAGTGTTGGCTAAACTCGCAGCTGGAAGATTGGATGCAGAAGAGATAATTAATGCCACAATAATTAATAGTGAACTATTAATGGTGGGTTTACTTCAATCACTGATTTTTTTATTTTATTTTATTTTTAACTCTTAGGAAAGTTTGGTGTCCGGTAGTTTTTACTGAACCTCAACTTTCCAGTAACATGGTATTTTACCAAAAAAAAAAGAATCTGCATGTGGGATTTTTCTAAGTTGCAAAACCTGCCCTGTACAGCTCTGGGGATTTTTAACCATTCCCATAGCTGAAAGCTTTTTTCCCTGATGTGCTCCTTTGTCCTCGTCAAAGGGTGGAGTGAAGAAAATCTGGAAATACTTAATTCTTAGTGTCACTGGCAGTGCAACCCCCAGTGGTACGGTGGATGTTCGTGGTCCATAACTGGGATGGGGAGCACTCGGTGAAATCACCAGAAAACCACAGTTCTTGATTTGTTATAAAGGTTGTTGGTCATCTGGTCCAGCTGCTGGTCAGTCCTGCCAAGGGTGAGGCCCAGGTTGCTGGAAGTGTTGCTGTGGCTTTTAAGACTTGTACAGATTCAGACTCTCTCCATGGTGGTTCCATAGGGATTTGTATGAATGCTGTCTGTTCAAAACAGGTTCTGCCTTGAGTAATTCTCTTGTTTGGACAACTATATAGAAGTGCTTCAAAAAGTAACCCAAATGACTTTGTAGATTGATGACTTAAGAGTTGTTACACATTTGTTTTTCTCTTTCCCAGCATCTTCCTAAAATATTTACATCCTTTTGGCAGCCAGAAAAAAAATGTAACGCTGTTTATGAGCTTTAAAAGCAGGTTGTGAGGCAGCCTGGCACATTTTGTGTCGAGGGGGAGTTAAAGGGAGTTACAATTCCGCTTGTGACAACAATTCCCCTCCCCAAAATCTCGTCTCTGTTTAAGGGGCTGGCTGAGGACATGTGGTTTTTGTCCTGCCAACCTGGGAGGGAGATTCCCAGAAGGTGGACTGCCCATACGCTCCCCAAGGTGGAGATTTGCACCAATGCCGGGGCTTGCAACATGACCTTACCCAGTGGTACTTGTTTTTTGGGATGTTTGCACCCCAGAACAATTCCTTAGCAGGATTACTTCCTTGTCTACTCTTCCTCATTTGAAAGTATCTTTTTTTTAAGTTACTTGTTCATAACTGCCTTGAGCTTTGTGGTCTCAGCCAGGAGCTTCCCAGGTGTTTTGAATCAGTTATAGTGGATGCTTGAAAATATCCTACTGAATCCCTCTCACCAGTAGAGCTTTCATCTTCAATTAGCATCATTTGAGGAGTTTGTTCTGGGGGGCTCCCAGCCCTGTAAATAAGTGATGTCATTGCTGGCTTTTGGCCATTGCATTTATTGTCCTTGATACCAGGAAAGTATTCCATTGCAGAGAAGGCAGAGTGAAATAGTAGAAGGAGTCAAGAAGTCTGGTTATCTATCCAAGACTTCTTGAGAGTTACTCTTTCAGTTAAAAAGACTGTCAGGGAAAAAGAGACTTTAAAATTACCATTGGACAGAGGATGCTGAGAGGAGGGATGTTTGAACAGGACCCTGGATTATGGAGCTTATAATATTCTCATCTCCTTTCTAAAAGTGAGGGCAAAGCAGACATAGTAAATATTTAACACAGACGAAAATTCATTTTATTCTGCACACCTTTAACTGCTGTTCCCTGCTGTAATTGGTGCTGTTTTCTTCTTTAGCTGAGAAAACTTTCCATAAGATCTTCTGAGTTTTTACCACAGTATTTGTGGATCTGCTGGATTAATTTATGATAGCTGAAATTAAATGAACTCATTGGAAAAAGATTAAAGACTACAGGAACCCAGGAAAGCCTGTAGGTATTTTAACTAGTTAGGGATTTTGAGATGATGGAGATAGGAACACCACACATAGGTTTGCATATTTTAGTTTAAACCATTTATTTCCGGAAGTTTGAGAGCAGCTGTGCCCTTCCAGAGGGAAAACCCATTCTCTGTCAAAGGACTTGCACAACAGATTGTTGCTAAATGTGTTATTTTGTGGCCATATCACCATCCTAATGAATGGAAGTGGTTTCCAGACGTGGTTTCACTCCTTTTCAGTTTTGCTTTCCCAGGTTGTTCCAGGCTCTGCTGTCACCCAGGATTCAGAAGGATTTATTTACTGCTTCCTGCAACCTCACCCAGGGATTCCTGGTGACAAACTCAGGGTATTTTCAAGGCAGGAGTGGGGAGTTCCAACAGCCATGCCAACACTGCATGTTGCCTTGCAGCAAGTTTAGGTGTTGATGTCATTTCATGTCATTTCCAAAGGCGTGTTATTCCCACAGCCACGCGTGTGGCACGAACCAAATAGTCCCTAAAAGTGCCAGCTCTCCTTTGCAGTATTTTCTCCTTAGGCTGCTTTTCTGGGAAGTTGCTGGGATTTTACTGCTGCAACTCCATCCAGCCCTGAGCACCCTTCCCATAGCGCTGCTGCTGCTGCTGCCCCATGGCACCCTCCCAAAAGATACCTGTAAGGAAACAGATTCCAGCTATGGCACTTCTGCTGGTTTTTTCACGGCTTGGGGCAGGTAAGGACATTCCTCATTAATTCTCTGGTCTCTCTACTGGATGCTTTTTTTGCAGAGGGTGTTGTTTCAGAAAGATTGAAATAATTCAACGTCTGTTTCTCAGGCTTTTCCATGTTTGTATTCACTCTGACTTTCAGACTGCTGTGAACAGTGAACATTTGGGAATGAGGTGAACCACTAATTGATAGCTTTCCCCAGTTAGAGTTGGAAAGTTTATGCAGAAAGAATAAAATAGCAACCCAAATTCAGACTATAAATAGTTTAGTCAAGGGAACAAATCCTGAGTGAAGCTTGACCTCCCAGCCTGGAGCAAAAGCTGCTTTCCCTACCCTGCTGAGTTGCTCCTGGTGCTGGGGTTCTGACAGGGTTTGTCACCATGTTTGAGGATCCATTCAAACAGGTATGCATTACTAAGCACTTTTTTTTTTTTTTCTAGTTCAAAACACATTCCCAGAGACTGTGGAATGCTCCATATTGGGAAGGAGGCACCCGCAGGAATCTTTTACTGTGCGCCTCCTGTGGTGGAGCCCAGCCCGCTCTCCACAATCCAGTTGGATCAGTAAAAGGAAGAGGATAGAGGTTTTTTTCACTAGTACAGTCTGTCAGCAGTGGGAATTGTTGATCAGTCCCTTCTGTCTGCCTGGGAAATGGGTGGCCCCTGCCCCATGAGTCAGGAGGAAGGAGCCAGCTCCTGCCCAGGGCTGTCCCACATCTCTCCACAGGGCCAGCCAAAGGCAAACCCACCTTCTTCACCCTAGAACCAAGGCATGGGGTTCTCCAGACAAAACTCAGTTCACCAATATCGTACCGTAGCACAGGCTACAATGACTTTTTGTGGGGAAGGGGAGAGCAGTCCCAGCGGGAGTGCAGCCAGAATCCTGGGCTGTGCCTGCCTCTCCTGCAGTTTCCCAGTGCTCTGAGTGACCTCAGCCCTCTCCTCAGCCTCTCTTCCTTCCTCTGATAGGATGCTAATTGCTGCTGAGGTTTTTCCAGCTGAGCACGGGATTGTGCCTTAGTCATCCGAGCAAGTCCCCTTCCTCCTTTAAAGTTTTCTCAGCTTAATTTGACTTTGTATCAGTAGGAAATGACAAGTCATGTCACTCTTTTCTTTCCAAGTGTTTCATACTGCTCGGCTCTACCTGGACACGCAGCATCTGAGCGGGGAAGCAGAATGAAGCCATGAAGTATTCCCAACAGGAAGTGACATTTTTCCTCCTTTTGTTCAGTAAATTCCCTATGGGCTGCAGCTAAAATATTGGAGACATTTTAAAGACAGGAAGCAGAACTTAACCCCCCTTGTAATCAGGATCACTGTTACCAGAGGAACATGATTTATTAGGGAAAGGTTGAGTTAAGGAAACAGCAGAAAAGCTTCAGGAACTTGTGCTTAGTTTTGCTTTGTCCTTCACATGCCAGTAATAATACTCATATTTCTCATCAGTAGAGCAAGTTTTGATGTAACTTATGAGCTGCAGCACCCTAACTGGTTACAAGTGCCATCTAACGCAGAAAGTATTTCTTCATGTGATGGTTTTTTCCACCTTTTTTAATATTCCTTAACCTGCACCTGGCAGTTGATCCCAAATTACAGTGAAAAGTAATCCATAACAGGAATTAAAATTATGAAAGTGTTTTTCATAGAAGTATTTGTAGACAGCCAAGGGTATGAAACTCTCCTTTTATTGCATGTATTTCATTGTATTTTACAAATAATTACATGGATACAAATGTTCCTTCACAGAAGGTACATTTCTTTTTTTAAAAAAAAAAAAAAAAAAAGGGCTAGGGCATCATCCAAAATAAGCCATTTATTGCTCATTAATATAAAATGTATTCATATTTCTAGGAGGTGTCATATCCGCACCACTGTTCATCCAGATTTCTTGTATGATCTGCTCCCTGCGCTCAATCCTTTCTGCCAGTTCTGCCGCCTCTGTCAAATTATATCCTGAGTA